GACTTGGTCTTCAAACCCCAAACACATCAATTAAGTCTATAAATAGAGCCAACTTATCTTCATCCTCTCCCCTGTATGTGTGGTACAAACAACATGCCGGTAAGGCAGGCCTATCTCTCTCTCTCTCTCTCTTTTTATTTTTTCGATAGTGTAATTTCAGTTATTATCTATATGAATCCGTTTTTTGAAAAGCAACAAAAGAAGTGAGTTTTAATGTATTGAATTGTTAATCTACTGTTGCAGAAAAAGATAGTCATCCAAGTACAAATAAGCTGCGAAAAGTGCAGAAGCAAGGCCCTCAAGATTGCTGCTGAAACAGATGGTTAGTGTACATACATATAACATGTTAACTAATCCCCGGAAACACAATTTTGATTTTCCTTGTAAATTAGTCTCTTAATTAATTTCTTTCCGTCCCTGATCATATCCTGACAGGGGTGAACTCGATAGCAATAGAAGGGGATAACAAAGATAAGTTGGTTGTGATCGGAGATGGAATTGATTCAGCTACTCTCACCTGTACGCTCAGGAAAAAGCTTGGATTTGCCACCATAGTCACTGTGCAAGATGAGAAACCTAAAGATAAAAAACCTGAACCTCTCCCTGTGTGCATTCCATCAATATGTTACCCCTATCCTCCCACATGCCAAGAACTAGTTGTCTGTGATCCAAACCCTAGTCCCTGTTCAATCTTGTAATTCCATCATCTCTTCAAATTAAACGTGTGTGTTTTCTGGTTTCTTATTATTCTTCTTAATGCTAATCCTACCTACCTACCACATGTCTTCACGTCTTTCGTTCTTGTTCCTATTGTTGGAAATAAAAACCAATTCCAGTACCTCGCTCATGTTTAATTTAAGTTATAAATGTACCATTAAGTTCAATCCAAATTCAATTTTAAATTTATTATTGAGTCATTATGATGAGTTGTATCAAATGTTTATCTAAAAGCTTATGTAAAGACTTTCTTATGCAATTGGTTTAATCATCTTTGAATAATAAAAAATTTGCATTTTTTTAATTTTCAAATTTCCTTACTTGTATTTGATTACTTATTTTAATTTCCTCTATGATGAACAATAAAATTGTCTTTATTCTTCAGAATTAGGATAGTATAACATCATTACTACAACTGTAAGTTTTATAACCCTTGATACTCATTTTCCATGTACTTTTGCACAAAATATGAAGAATTAATTAAAACATAATAAGGCCAAATTAATTAATTAGCCCCTCCCTACTCAAGTTTAAATTTTAAAATGAGTGAGAAGCGGTTTGAAAATGAAAAAGTTATCTTTTAATTGTTTAATATATCCATCATTTGATATAATAAAAAAGTTATAATTACCTTTTTTTTCTTAACACACTTTGCTGTGTTGACTTGGAATATCAAGACCAACATTAAGAGAAAGTAATTGACATGGGTTCCCCATTTCCACCCTCGTGTCCAGGCTTCGTATTTCTTTATAATTAGTATAAGAAACTGGGAAAATTATGGTGAAATACTTTTCAAGAAAATTCTTAAGTAACCCCACCTGTCTTTTTGAATGCACATGACATGTTGTATGTTTCCGTCAAGATATTTGGAAACCCATGAAAACAAAGTAGATGGAAGTTGGAGCCAATGATTTCTTAACTTAAGTTTCATAGTCAAAGTCATTGGTCTTCCAGGAAATAATAAAGAACGCTAGACATGTGGTATTAAATTAAGAAATCAAATTATTCTAGCTAACACGCACTTTGAAATTGTAGTCCTAATAAGTCTCTTAGGTAATCTGTCCTTTAATTTGGGCCTAATACCCCAATAAGCCTTTTCTTTAATTCTAATAAGTTATAAATTATAAAATCAAAAAAATAAGTTACAAATTACTGTGTTGGGTCATTTGAAACTAAACTAACATTTCCAGGAAGCACTTAAATGAGAAACCAGCATCTTCCTGAAGAATGATGCTGATGGATTTGGCATATTTCTAAAGATTTCATTGTCTAATTAAATTCCATTCCCCATTTTGTTTACCGTGTATTTCAGGGTGACGTGGTACAATGTATTTGTCCAATGAGATTTTAGGCTTGTAAAGTGAAACGGAAGGAACTTTCCATCATTTAACATGCAGCTTGTTTCATGGATTATCACCTGTTTGTTGGTATTGGAATAAAAGTCACAGACACAATACTGATTTGAAATTTCATATGGCTAGGAATGCAACATAACAACCGTGCAGGGGCGGAGCTACAATAGGACAAGGGCGGGCAGCCTCCCCCCTAAACTTTTGGAAAATGTTTAATATAGTACATCAATTTTTAATTAGTACAAAATTTGTTTTTTATGTTTGAATTAGAAGGACCATTTTGAATTTAAAGAAAATATTTGGGAGCTAGGTAAAGGATCGTTTCTTTTTTTGAAATCAATTTTTAAGACAAATAATTTTATTTGGGTATAAAAAAGGATTTTATATTAATTATAATTCTTTGGACAATTTATATTATATCAATTTAACAATTGGATTTGATATTCTAATTTAAAATTTGTTAACATTTGTAACCATATCAAAAAAGTAACCATATTTTATATGAGATTAGTATTAATTCACTAGACTTGAAAAAAAAAGTGAAAAAAACTTCAAAATTAGGATGTTCTAATGAAATATATCATGAAAAAATATTAATATAGTCTTCATTCTTA